TTATAAAAAGAGAGCCAGCAGGTCATCTTCCTATTTTGAGATCGCATTATTCGCTGTTCTTTACGTAAAATTACGATTTCCATTGCTTTTCACTGGAGCATGGTCGCCCGTAAATGTTTGTTGATGCCCAGTTACCCATGTCTTTATTTCACAAAGATATCAAAGAGAAAAATTTTATAAGCGTTAATAGTGTTTACTTTGTTTTCGTACACGTCGCAATATATTGAGTCAACGAGGAAGTGCTTTACCAAAAAAAACTCTCATTGAAAATCACCATTGTACACATATTCCAGTTTCCCGTTTTGATGGATATCATGTAAATGCCCCATACATGGTCAATATAGAAATAGTTCTGTTGCCCGTCAGTGGTTGGCAGGAGTGTATTTATTTAGGCTTATTGGCACGGAAGTCCCCCATTCTTCATTGCCCTTATCGAACGCTTTCTTCTGGAGTTAGTTTAGGAATGAATAGCCAAGTTTTTTTATAAGCTAATGTGTTTTATTGGAATTTTAATTACGACATTTATACAAAAGGTATTTCATGAGACCCTTGAGCATTCCTTTTGATGAAATAGCGCATTTTGTTTGTTATGAACTTAACTGTCCAGTGGTGGTCAACATGTTGTTGGCCAGTCTTAGCCAAATTCGTACAAAGACTTTGAAAAGTGATGTTTTGGAGGGACAAAAAAAATTACAAACATTGCATGGATAATGGATCCGAGTTGGTGCTGGGTCCGAGTTGGCGTGGGTCCGAGTTGACTCGAAACCATTGCCAAAGGGGGTCTTGTCCTCCCCACACAATAATAATAATAAGAATAATAAAAACATGTAAAACGCACAGAAATGTAGCCTCACCCATGCATCAGAAAAACGAGTAAAGGTCTCAGTTAAAAAATCCTAAGTTTTTGCCCCCCCCCCCCGAAAAAGCAAGTTTATCCCCCCGAAACTTTGGTTCTGGATCTCAAGTTCTAACTTGCCTGTACCATGGCTGGTCGTTTTGAATCTAGGCTTGTAGGCTTATGTAGATATTCGGTGTGAAATCCAACGTGGGAGTTTCGTTGTCACAGTTCGCGGCCTCCGGGTGCATTGAGCTCGCCAATGGGAAAAATTGACATTTTTGGCAGACCCTTCACCGGGAAATTGGCATTCCGCGTGAATAGTATGCTCGAAACAACTGTAAGACATCCGGGGGAGATCTGAAAACTCGGTACGAGCAAAACTTGCATCGCGGCGAAATGAGATAACATGTCCCTGATTTGAATCCGCCATCGCCTCTTTTTTCGGGTTAATTAAAGCCTCATCATTGAAAGCCAGTTGCACTTTCAATGCCCCATCCCAAACCATTGTTTGAGCTGATGTCTCGAAGAAGTTAAACCCGCAATGAACTCTCCATGCTTGGTTAAAGGGCTGATGCAATAGGTGTTTGTGATTACAAACCTCTACAATGCACCTTTCTGCCTCAGTTAACCTTATTTTCAACTTCTGTTTCACTATTTCAAAGGGTATTTTAACGCCTTTTTCGCTTTTATGCTAATGAGTATTTCCATATTCATGAGCAAAACTGTGATGTCATCCCAGGAAAAGCCTCAATGTTACATTGGTTTGTTAAAAGTCCAGTACTTTTGTAGATTTTCCTGGATTCAGTTTTCTTTTCCTTGCTGACTCATTGCTGTCCATGTGCACAGCAACAAGAAAATGTCAATCCGTCTCCCAGAAATGTTCTCAGTAGGTAAATGCTGGGTTCACAATCTGAACAGAAACACCTATGCACTGAGCCATGTCTTCCCTAGATGATGTCACAGCAACAGCGCCCTCAGCTCCATGGATAATTTTAATTGTGTAAAAACGTGCACTTTTCAGTGCATTTAACTAAATAGGAGCGTAAAAGACTTTTTTACAATGAACAAGAGTAAAGATGCAGAATAATTGTGTACAATAAAAACTCATTGCAGCTACACTAGATAATTACAACATTTTCCCCCCGGCAAATCATTATTAGGTTTTGTTAACTTCCTATTTGTACAACAGACAAACATCTGCAATTCAGATCAAGCACAGGAAGTCGGCGTATTGTGTTGATCGCGTTTCCTCACACCATCCAACTGTAATTAAGTATTCGCTCAGCCTTATACATCATTATTTGGGGGAGCAGAGGTCTACGCTTTTTTCCCCAAAAATAACAGCTTGTGTTGATATTTCTATAATGTCTCATTTGTGGTCGACTCCACGCTCAAAAAGTGAGGACGTGCTCATGTCTCATACCGATGAACGTCCGTCCGTGAGTGGACAACTTGACGCCGCAGCCCGTTGACTGAACAAAATGGCTCCCCAAGGATCACCAAAAACAAAAACGGTTTACCACAAATGCAATCGCAAGATTTTGCCAAAAAGACCGAGAAGCCATACTGTCATGCACGCATCATTATATTTTGTGCACTTAGCAAAACTTAGTCTTTATTCGAGTCATGGGTTATCCCCATCAGTGTTCATGAATAGTAAATTCATGCGTTATTTACACATCTCCTGACACAACAAAAATTCCATCGACGTCTATTCTTCATTCTTCCAAATTTAAGATTCCCAACATACTTTATTAATATACAGCATTATGACACATTCAAAAGTGGCATTGCATTTTTAAATAATACTTCTTAATAATACCTTTTAAGCTTTCAATTATATTACAAACACCTATGTAAAAGTTAATAAACCTGATTAGTTACTTTCAGCAAATACGCTTGAAGCAAGTGTTACATTGACGTGTATTTACGCAACCGTATCATTTGATTTTGCATGATAATTTTCATTTTCAAATGAAATTACACACTTTGAAACAAAATACTTTTGACATTTAAATACATCAGGCCAATCGATACAATGAACTATTTACCGTGAAAACCTGGGATTCACACTAGAAAAATACTAATATGAAGCACAACCTCTAAGAACGCAAACATTTTATGAAACAGTTGTCTAAATAAACTCGTGGGAGATTCTTGTGGCTGGAGCGACCATAAGGTATAGGTAAACAGACGGTGAGTGTTCGAAGCCAAGCCCTCTTGTGATATTTTTATAATAAAATATTCAAAGGATTGAACCAACTCGCTTCAAGACATAGGCCTAAGGAGGGGGTCGATATCTCACACGAAAAGAGAATCTACTCCCTACTTAGTTAGATTTATACCCTATGAAACCACGAGTGGCTTAATAATGGTTTACAAGGCCAGGAAATAGTACCCTGGATTATTCTCTTTTTGACCTGCGACTTTTGACCTCCCCGGCCTCCGACGGTGAATGCTACAGTTAACCGGTGTTACGAGAAGCGCTGTGAAGATCAGCTAGTCTCGTTACGTCGATAGTTTCGTGTTTGCCTAAACAGAAGTGAAATGTTTGTGCTATTCACCTTGCTTTTGTCACTTTTGCTTTCAAACTCGAAGTATCAACAAACTGAGTGTTTTACTAACAGGACACATTTCAGTTTAGTTTCCTGGTTAGCAAAACTGCACAACTTAGCCGTGCAGGGAGTACCACTTTCAATTCATTCTTCTTGAAATATTTGCCTCGTTGTTGTCCAGTAAATTTATTTGCAGGGATTTAGAGTGACGTCGTGGTACTCTATCTCGATCTCCTTCTGTAACATTTAACGGGGTTATTAAATTAAACAGCAAATTTGTAAGTTTCAACTGTTAAACAAATCCAAACGTGCGTGTTTTCCCATCAAACCTGTGGATCTTAATAGTTTTTTCCAAGCAGCAGAATTAATTCCTCTTTGACCTTGCTCTTGGCATTTAAGCTTCATGTGAACTTGGTTGCCAAGTCCGACCTTTTAACTTTTATCCTACACAGTCAAGAAGTGTATGTAAAAACACACATTATACCGGTATAGGCTGATACCATAAAACCTTAGATAGCTGAAAAAATGTTCATGTGAATGAATGCCCTTTATTCCAGAACTAATTTCAAGCTCTGTGAACTCAAATCGCTTTCTGTACACTAAGCTAAATCAGTCTTGACACCTGTCGATTTTCTTTTCTACAAATATAAAGAGAGGTCTCAACTTTCATGAAGCTCTGTTATTTATTACAAGCAAACGCACCTGAGGTTAAACATATGTGTAAATCTTAAGACTATCCTTCAGAATGAGGAGTATGCATAACATCTCAATATTACTGAAGTATGGTCTTGTGAAAAGCCGAATTAATGAAAATATTTAAACGGCATAGGTACTGTGCACAGACGCGACACGACGGCCAAAAAAATATTACAACGTACCGTGAAAAACACAGATCCCCCTTTTCGATTTCGGATAATTTACAAAGTAGTCTGCACATTGCTTAGTGTATCTCAGTACCAACATGAAATACGAGACTCCAGCGCTTCGAAACTGGTCCTGCCTCCCACATACATGTAGAGGGCAAAATAGGTTTACACAAAACAGTGGTGCCTTCGGCTTTATACGGAACACTACCCCTCGTCTGGGGGACTGCTTGGATTAAACTGTTTTGCTTTTCACTTTGGTGGTACTAAATTGCCTGTAACAGGATTGATCAAGGTGCTGTTGTGCTTTCCTCTCATCCAGTAGTCGACATTCTGATCTCCGAAATGCAGACCGAGAAACAGACCCAAAGCAGAAAACACCAGTGTCAAGGTCTCGACTCGGTAAGTGGGGGATTGCTCCTCGCAGAAAACAAGAACCCTATCCCAGAAGTCCTCCAGCGCCTCCGAACGCATCTGGCTGACGCTTCGCACGAACTGGACCCACAGCTTGTTTATGTCGAACCCGCCCACGGCTACCAGGGGCAAGACCAGGAACATGATGTTCTCGGACCAGATCAGGAGGTTGATTTGGAGCTCCAGGTCCGCGTTTTTGAACTTGAGGCCGGTGCTGATAACTAGGTAGTCCCAGCAAATCTGGGTGGTAAACGCCCAGGTGGAGACAGCCACCACCACGATGACCCAGCCGGACACCAGACGGCACATGCTGCCCAGGTCCTCGGCATACAGCCTCAGTCGGCCCCGGCAGACGTCAACCTGCCCCTTGTGCCGCCAGAGAAAGGCCAGCTCCAAGCGCTGCTGCTTCTGAAACGACAGTCGCATGAGAAGCATCAAATAACAGAAACCGCCCCAGGCTAACATGCACACGAATCCTGTGGCAAGGGAGATCTGTATGTGGACATCCATCGATTTGTGCACGACGAAAAGGTAGTAGATGGCGATGCGTAACCCCCCATTAAGGGCAGGCCAGATAACGCACACCGCGAGGTAGGGCTTGTATGCCATACCCGCTTCCAGCCCCATGTGCTGCAAGCGCTTGACGATGTACCTCAGGCCGAGACACTCGTACCAGCTGAAGCCCCGGCGCCGAGTCATCCATCGGTGGTCCATCATCACGTTACGGACGTTGGCCACGACGCTCAGGAATGGACTGGTCATGTTGAAGGTCAGGAAGGTGGAGTAACTGATGAGGCGGATCAGTTGCTGCTTTTGCCCCCAGTAGTCCCGGAGATAGAAGAAGAAGTCGTACAGAATGAGACAGATCAGGACGGAGGGAAAGATGAAAGAGAGTACTGCACTCCCGCGGTGGTTCCATTTACGCACACCTGCAGAGAGAATATACGCGAAATGACACCAAGAAGTACTAGTTCGCTTGTTGAGCAGTTTTACTTTATCTTTTCGGTTTAGGTTTGTAAGGTAGCTTTACTAATCGGGACCTTGTGATCTGCATCTGGGGTCCGCTGATTTAAATGAGCTTCAAGAAGAAAATGTCTGCAAAACAGCCAAGGGCTAGCCAACGGTCAGTCACAATCATCGCATAGAAGCGACTGTCGCAAATGAAGATTCCTGTGCCAAAACGGCTATAGCACATCATGCGAAGGAATTTGGTCAACATTAATCCATTGAGTGAAAGTACACAATACGAGCTACTTTACGAAGAAAAACTGTATTTAACATCAGTAAAGTTCTAAAACGACAATAAAGACCCTTTCAAACTCCAACTACAGATTCAAGAACGAAACAGTGACTTCGTTGGAAAGGTAAGTTCCGACAGCAGCATGCATCTGAAATACAAATCATCCCCAGAGCAGAAAATTACATTCGGTATGTTGCACCTCAAAATCAAAATCCATCTTTCTGATCACTGTATCACTCCCAAAATGTGACATGTATCCCCAAACCAAGTTATTTAGGGTATTTGTTTGTTTGCTTTTTCCACAACCACAGAAATAAAGGAACCTCTATTTTATCTAAAAAATTCTTGGCCACAGCTGTTCAAGTGGACCTCGATCTTATTTACGTCATGGTTATAGTATTCGCCTAGCGGAGGTTGGCACGCTATGGTTAGCCGTCGGTTCAAAAGCAAAAGTATCGCTCAAGAAGGGATTTATGGACAATCTCACACGGCTATCAAAACAGTAACTAATACTATACCGTATACTTAAATGGTCCATCCCTCCTCCAGTAACGCTAATTGGGGAATAGTGCAGTTTGAAGCAAAGTCTTGCAACGGCCAAAGTTGGGCATCGTGCCAATATTTTGGCCAGCCGTGAAAGTAGAAGGCAATATGAGGAAGGTCTATTTCCGTCCACACTCTCCAGTGTCGTTGGCTTCATTATTTTTCCCCATTCTTGCCTTGGCACACGATTGATCTCCAGATCGCTGAAGCGTTTTTTGCTAGCGATTCATCACTCAGCACTAATGAAAGTGCGATATGATAAGACCCGATGCTTCCGGTAAAACGAAGGATATTAGGGCTTTGATATGAATGCAGGAAAATGAGCTTACCAATTAAAATCATACATGTTATCTGCAACAAAATCTGGCACAACGAGGCGGGTATCCGACTGATTAAGTTGGCATTTTTATTTACAGGAATTTTTCACGCATCTTAGCGAATGAACGGCCTTCAGACTTTGTGACTTACCGATATCAGTCTCTGTGTACGGACGATACCTGCCTCGGTCATCCCACCATTCGCTGCGGCAGACTTGGCAGGCGTCACCGGCAAGGGTTCCCGGGCTGTCTTGTTCGGCCACTGTGTTCATGTTGCCGTCAACCAGGCAGACCAATACTTGCTCCTTCTCGTCGTCCTCATCGCGGCTCACGGCGGCTCCGGGATACGGACCGCACCCGCCCGTCTCCCCTGATATCTGCTGCCGCTGCCGGCTCTGCAGCGCGGCCAGGCGGCAATCGTAACACGGCCGCCGCGTCACGGCCCGCCGGTAGTTGTACAACCCAATGATCTTCAACAACAACCAGATGACCCACGGCCAGCGCTTGCGTCCCAGCGGCGAGGTTACAGATTCGCCCGCTCCAGAGCAAGAGACAGGATTTTCCAGCATAATGCTTTGGCTACTGTCAGACGTGTAAGCCCGAGAGTTGATATGCCTATCAGGGTCCTGATTGAGTAAGGGGCGATACTCACTTGAGGAATTCATGATCAGGTCAGGCCCTTGCGGTAATTAGACGATGATCACAACAGAACTCAGAATGTGCGTGTCGTTGTCTCACTCTTGTTCACTCACAGCAGACGATATCAATCAATCATGTACGGTATTGACTTAGGAGCCGTGCCTTAAGTTCATGCTGCGCACGCGCACAGAATGAAGCGAGTGATGATTTTGTTAAGAAGACATCGGCTGTTGTATTCGTTTAGACGACGGGAAAAGCCTCCACGTGTATCTAGGTCCACGGATTGATTTGAACAAAAGTCTGCTTATCAGTAGACCATATCCCGTCATGCGGAAGTTTTCGGCAAGTGGCATTTGAAAAAAATAATAGGTGTATGACCACGGTATACAGCTTCTGTCAACCGTGTCGGGGTGGATTGATTTTGGTTTTGATCACTTCTGAATACCCAGTTTCTCTAGGCGATGCAATCATTAGATAATGAATGATATCGTTGAAATAAGAATTAACCGGCGACAAAAGTGGGAATAGAGTGCCTCAGATCTCA